ATGACAGGGTTGGTTTCCAGTAGAAGCAGATGATTAAGTGTTAGAGGTTCCTCATCATCTAAGTCCATCATTCATTATAGCTTCCACCTCACATCAGGCTGTTTGCAAAGCCTCATCGTCCCAGAACTTGAGTGATCTCTCCCGTATGAGCGCCTGCTGCTGGGTTAAATATCCACTCTATTCCGTCCTGCAGCAGATTCCTTCGGATGTCGTCATGCTGTTGTCCTTCTAATGATTGTTCCAGTTCCTCTTTTGCACCAACAAAATGTGTACCATGATGGGACCTGATGGTCCTGACACCTCGTCGACGTGATGCAGGAACTAGGATCCACCCCAAGATGGATTGTGCAGCTGGTAAAGCACGTAAAGATCACAGATCAGACATCTTCTGACCTGAAAATGTCTTAGTCGATCCAGCTCGGTCAGACATTTTTCAAATGGTTTGGAAAATTCTCTACTACGGATTGTTGTATCCCATCTTGGAGAATTTCTTTAGCCTTAAGGACAAAATGTGCCTAATGGATCATATACTGATGAACTGCTCGTTCCTCCTCACTGAGAGCAAAACACTTGACTAGATCTCCACTCTTTGCTGTCCTGCTCCTAAATGGTGGAAGGAGGTCTCTGAAGACACCAGGACCACAGAGAGCCTTCACATCTTCAGACTAAAGACACACCTCTTCAGACTCTACCTCCACTAACACACTAACTAACTGTAGCACTTACATTGGACTTATAATGGTTCTTATCTACAGCAAGTTGTACATCGGCTTATTTGATGAAATCACACTTTCTTGTTTCTTGTTCTTCTGAGTTTGTGTCCTTATGGTTGAAATGTTCTTATTGTAAGTCGCTGTGGATAAAAGCGTCAGATGACATGTGATGTCATGTGATGTAATATACTGAACTGACAGGACACACTGTCAATCAAAGGTCTCGTAGCGTGCAGCTCTTTGCACGTCACGTCAAATACAGACACGACAATGTTATCACATATTGTACCGTTACATGCATCTCACACTCTGTGGATCACAATGACGTCACCAAGAAGTAACGCGAGGGCACTTAATACTAGCATCAATGTCTCAGCGTGTTAAACCAAGCTAGCATCGCTAACGAGACGTCTTGCTAGCGGCTGAAAGTGTTCGCTTACTTTGTTTCTGACAAAGTGAACAGTTTTCCAAACGCAGTCAAACATCAAGTGCAACACAAGAGAAAGCCGACGTCCTCTTTTACCCGTCAGCCGGACGGTTTTCCCCCAAGTCCCATCCACTCCGAAGAGTCAATCACGGTGTGTAAATGCGCCTTAACTGGATTTTCCATTTCGAATTTTGTCCGTGTCAGATTGACAGTGATTCTTCCTTGGATCATTATTGGTGCTGATGTCGTATCGTATTGAGACGTTATGGGCTGATGAACTTTGCAAGGGGTGTGGACACATGACTTACCAATGAATTGGCCTTTCCTCACCAATACTTTTTTACATGTTTAGCCTATTTTCAAGACCCACAGATCCTCACAGACCAGGAGATGAGGACCCACACATCCTTGACTCTGGGGAAAATTTGTAAATTGCAATTTTCAGCTACACAAAATGAAATGAATTTAATTTCTAATCCGTTTATGCTAGTGATAACAAAATGTCATAGTGTTCGTCATAACGCGACGACCGGTACATGATCCGATCATTAACCACATGGCAGAGAGAAGCAAGAGAAGAACGGTGAATGGACTGTACTTGTGCAGCGCTTTAACACTACATGACATCATTCACCCATTCACACACTGACAGCTCCCACACACAGAGCCACCGACATTCACAGCGGTACGTGTCTGGCCCAAGGACACATGGACACGCGGGTTAGCAGGACAATCCTGTGATTGGAGGACGACCGTCCTCCCCACTCATCCACAGTCGCCGGCGTGACGAGGTCAGTGGTCTGGGGGAGTGCAAAGGGTGCAGAAGCATTTTGTTGTCTTGGAACCTCTGTGCAATGACACAAAGTTGAATCTTCTTCTTCTCTAGAAGGAAACCAGTGGGTTTTTAAAATGTTCTTCTACTGCAGTATTTGCTTTACAGGTATTTGCTGTCAGGC